CTGTTATGGCCTCTGAAGCAACAGAGAGATGTTTTCTAATAGTCAGGGTTTCCAATGTTCTGAATGTACTTGAAAGTATTGTGTTTTACTTAAAAAACAAAGTGTTATAGTTTACAGAAGGTCTACCTACCTATAGGCTACCTGAATCTCTGAAATGTACTATATTCCTAAATATGCTATTGCTACACTTTATGGCAAAAATTGCACTTTTCTGTTGGTCTTGGTTAAGTACCACCTTGAACAAAATAAACAATGTTTTGTTGCTTAAGCTTATGTATTCAGTCATTATTCAATGGTATACTAAAATCCATGTGAAAAAAATTGCTTCTCACTGTTCTCAGGTCAAATATTTATATGTGATTAAAAATGCGATTAATTTCGATTAATTAATTACAAAGCCTCTAATTAATTAGATTAATTTTTTTAATCGAGTCCCGGCCCTAATTTATATATATATATAACTTTAAGATCTGCTTTTTAGATTCCTGCATAGTTTCCTAATACACATTATCATCAGTCTTTTTTACAGAGACACCTCACAGTGTTTTATGACTTGCATACCATGGCCACTTGACCTTGAGTTCAGATGTTTCGTAGATTTGGTTTAACTAGATCAACCAGCTAACCATTTCAAGTTAATTGAACTACTATAAGCTATAGTTTTATTTATGACTTAGCATTGTTAGAGTATAATATGTCATTTAAAAAGTCAAAAGTCAAAGTATAGTGGGTCATAAAAACTATATTTGTATTACTTTTTTCCACACACAAATATATTATTCTATTCTTTTCCACTTTTTCAACATTATAATTTTTATTGAGTCTATTTTGGGGTTATTCGGACATAAATGCAGTGTACCTTTAAATCTCACATGCACTTTATATTTATTTACATTCCGTTGTTTTGGTAAATCATTATTTGGCAACTACACCTATCATTAAAACCTTAACAAACCTGATTTGGGCTGTCCTGAGTCCCGGCTGTGGTCTGTTGAGGAAGGTGGAGTAGATGGAAGGGCTGGCTGACTGTTCTTCAGCTTCTTAGGTCGGCCCACCCGCCCGTTGTTCTTGCCCTTCCTGACATACAGCAGGGTAGGTGTAGGGGTGGGAGCAGGAGCAGGGGCAGGGGCAGGGGCAGGGGGGGGTGCCTCGGGCTTCTCCTTCGTCTGCTCCCCTTCAGACTCTCCCTCCGAGTACGAGTCTGCAGAGTTTCCTGACATTACTGGAGAGGAGGCGAGAAGGTAGAAGAAACATCTGTCACTGCTCTGCTTCTTCCTTAAAAAACAGCTTGTCAACACACAGAAAAACATCCTTCAAAACTGGAAGAAGGTTTGTAATCCTCTTCCAGCCGGGGGGATGTTTGACACCATGAAGGAAGGGAAGAGACAGCGTGTTTTGGACAACAGAAACAGACACATTCAATTAGAAAAACTCACCGTCCAGTTCCAGGCAGATGTGGTTCAGGCTCATTCCTCTGAAGAGAACTCCATCTCTCTCTCCGCAGAGCACCACTCTGCCCACTCTGCCCATCAGGCCTGGGTCTTGTCCAATTCCAGCACAGTTCTGTGTCACATGGTACTCCCTCTCCAGGAAGTGCTCCAGCCTCTCCACAGCGCTGCCTCCAGGCTGCCCGGGCTCCTCTCCTTCTCCCAGGAGCAGCAGCTGCGTCAGGATGGCGACCTGCCGGCGGACCCTGGTCTGGGTCAGGGCTCGGGGGTTGCGGGTGCCACTTGAGCGGGCCAGGCTGCGGAGGAGGTCGGTGCCTCGCAGCGGCGTGGCGGGAGAGTGGTACGGCCGGGCGAAGACATAGGGGTTTGCGGGGTCGACTCCCACATCATGCCGCGTCTGCAGGAGGAGCTCCAGGCAGGGCTCGCAGTGAGGCGGGAGGATGAGGGGCTGGACTCTTCCTCGTTTACCCTGGACCCCGACTCTGGGGAGGTGGGGAAGCACCAGACGCTCGAAGGGGGACAGGGAGGCCTCTAAGGGAGTGAGAGCAGGAGGGGCCCCCGGTGGGACAGGAACCGGGCACTGGGGAGTGATGCGAGCGTGGTATTCTGCGATGGAAAGCTTGGAGACCTCACACTCACGCCGGCGGTTGTACAGGATGAGCAGAGCCAGGCTGGAGTGGCACAGCAGGCGCCAGGCCTCGGCCGACTGCAGCTGCCGGGACAGGGACAGGAAGGCAGAGTGCTGCAGCCGCCGGAGGTACAGCACCAGAGAGGACAAGGACGAGAGGAGGGGCAGCATGTGGTGACGCCCCGAACCACTGGAGGAAGAGAGGTGGTGAACATGAGGTTAGTTATTCATTCTTATAGTGTTAGTTCAAATAACTTAGAACAACTTAATGGTTTGTTACAGTATCCTACAGTCTAACTGTGTCACTGTTTTAAAGTACGAGGTAACATGTAACAACATCATCCTACAGATTTGCTCACAAAGCAGGAAAAGTCGTAAAGTTACCTCATAAAATCCTTGTCCTTCTCGTCTGTCCCACTTTCATCTTCCACCTCCATCACTCCATTCTCCTCCTCTTCCTCCTCCTCCTCCTCCTCCTCTTCTTTTGGTGGCTCCATCTCTTTGGCCAAATTGCTGATGAAGTGCTGAGGGTACACCACCTCAAGATCTTCCTCCTCCTCCTTGGGCCTCTTTATCTCCACGACCTCCACAACATCTTCATCTTCCTCCTCCTCTATCTCTCCCTCCTCCCCCTGTCTTTCAGTCTCCATCATCCCCATTGATCCCCTCCTGGACTGCGTCACAGCCACAGGGGGGGGGCTTCTTTTCAGCACGGACACCAGCACGGCGCTCTGTCCTTGTGGAGGAGTCAGCACCGGAGAGGTGGAGTTTCTCCCAAAGGAGGCAGGGGATTGGTTAGCTGCTGTGAGAGTGGGCGGAGGCATGGAGAGGTCCTGGGCGCCAATCTGCGGAAGTTCTGAACTCTGTCTTTCGCTCTGTGGCGAATTTGAGTCCTGCGGAGAGTGTGTGTGCGCGGTGGGAGCGTTTGTGCTCTGTGGATGCAGACGGGGCATTTGTGTGTAGCGCTCCACGAGGGCGGAGCACACTTCTGGTTGGTGTGCATGGTGTTTATCCAAGTGGCGGCCCAGGGAGCGGAAGTGACGTCCGCAGTGCTCGCAGGTTTGCCGCATGGCGTCTATGGACACGCCTCTGGGGGCGTTTGCGCTGCTGATGCCTTTGGTGATAGAGCCATGTGGAGCCGGAGCTTTGAACACAGGCTTAGCAGAAGAGGAGGAGGGAGGGGAGGACTGCGCTGGAGGGTGGGATGAAGAAAGCGGGCGGTTGTGAGGAGGAATGCTGTTGGGCGAAGCCAGCAAAGACCGCCCGGCTAGTATCCGATGGGGGGTCTTTTTCTTTGAAGGGGTGTTGCACCGCTTCTTGCGCCGCTGTTGTGCCCGGCCGCGGGGGCTGGCGTTGTCTTCTTCTGCAGAGTCTGAGTCACTGCCGTCAGAGTGGGAGATGGGGGAGGAGGAGGGGGAGAGGGACCATGAGGGGGTGACATACTCCTGCTGCTGCTGCTGCCGATGCTGGGCTGACACGGAGAGAGGCTCCTCCTCCTGGAAGTGAGACAGAGAGAAAGGGAAGTGAAAAAAAGAACATGTCACCTGATGTCCGGAGGTGTTTTTAAAAGGTCCTCTGTTATACTGTTTTTCATCAATATATGATAGGTCTCAGATACAAAACATGTTTCTGAAGTGTTTGGCTCGAAATACCAAACAGATCATGCATTGCAGCATCCCATGATCCCCTCTGTTTCAGCCCTGTTTCAAAAGTGCTGATTCTCTGTCTGTTACTTTAGATGAAAATAAGGAGCCACTCCCAACGCCCAGATATTTATGCGAGATATTAGGTTAAAAAGAACACAATGGTGCTCATGGAGGATATTCAGCTCATTTTCAGACAGGTTTTTAAAGAAATGGACCAGGACAAAAAGAGAGAGAATCTTTTTTTCCTGAAATTTTCAGAATCTCTTTACGCAGACCTAAACATGAAAAAGTGTGTTTTGCATAATAGGTGACCTTTAAAGTATTCATAGAGTGTTCAATGCAAAAACTAACATAATACAAAATATATCATAAAATACTTTTTCCAATATATTTTCTTTTTCTTATTTGAATCCAGATTTGTGTTCCTGAAGTCTGGTCCCTGATTCCCACAGTGGTCAATGTAAACCACTGGGACCTTTAAACTAACTACCCACCATGCTACAAACTGGATCAGTGTAATTAGATGCACAGTCGGGAGGGTTGTTTCATTTTAAAGCAATAAGCAAAAATGAATCACCAGCTAGAGAATCAGTGGTGTTTATTGCAGTTGTTGGCACGGCCTGTGTGGCAAACAGCAGACAGCATAAGCAGGTTACTTACTGTATGCTGCTTTACTATAATGAGTTAAAGCTGATGATATGTTGAATCATTATTACACATAATAAAACAATTATCCAGAACAGGGGGAGTAAAACTTTATTATAATGATTATGTTGAGTCCAACATTAGTGTTGTCCACCCACATCCAGACAGGTGGCATCCTGCAGGCACTGTGGCGCATTACAACTGCATCTACATTTACTCACTAATATTCAGTTTGCTCAGAATCACTGCTGCTTTTTACAGCACCGTGATAGGGAGTAATCGTCGTGAGAAGCTTACCGCATAGCATAAGTCATGATCAAATGCAATGCATGTATTCACTATATTTAAAATAGTCTCTTAAACAATGTAGGTTGATTCTTTGCAAACAGAAATAAATGTAGTTTAGTTGACCTCCAAATACCGCTGTTTTAATAGAGTGACAATCACAGATTTTATTTTCTGATGAAGATGGAAAAGTTTCCAAAGCAACCAAATATCTCAAGTTGAAGTTGTGTCTTAAAATTATATTTATTTTTGGCTACTTTGCTACAATGACATGATCTTTATCTGAATATCATGAATATGGGGAACTAGTTAAAAGCTCACTATGTTCACCAGCTGATCACTAACTTTGTCTACTGTTTACTGTAGAAGGGAGCAGGTTGTGTGCAATTAATAGTGTTCATTGTCTAGTTGTCACTTCTTAAATTAGTAATTGTCAGTCTAACTGTGCTTTTAGGGAAAAGTGTTTTTTCTCTTACCTTTTTGATATTATTGTTATTCTCACTGTCAGAGATACACTCGTGTTGTGCTGGAGACGCAGGACCACGGAAACTCTGTGGGACACAAAGCAGTCACGTTAAAACCAGCACACTGTTAGTTACTGTTGCTATCAGCGCTGCTGTCAATCAGAGAGCAGGAAGACACCCGTCCACTGCAGGTCATCAGCACAGAGGACCATAAGGACTCAAACTCACTGACAAACCAAACAAACAGGAAAAGATTGGATATTCTCAAACACTGTGTGAGCTAAACACATTGCTTAAGGTTGGAATACATTGAAACGTTGTCACTTTCCGCCCCCTAGTGTTTCTATGTGGTATTATTGTTGGTGAAGCTGTCATAAAGTGAACCCGACTGCTTTCAGGTTTTTTTCAGAGCCTATTGATTCAGCGACACATTTAGCAACTTTCAGACCATTAGAGGAAAAAGCCAAGATTAACTTCAAATATATTATATTATGTTTTACTCCTAATGCGCTCAGAGTAATCACAGTCCACAGCTCCTTTGCCTGCAGCCAAATCATATTTTTAGGACTAAACAATATTCAAATAAGCGTATGACGTTGTCAGGACACATTTTATTTTCCTCAGTTGCTCCATTTCCACTACTTGAGGTAGTTACTGCACTGATACCGTTAGGGGTTAGCGGCCTCAGGTGGAAAACAAAGTGCTATATTCTTCCTGTTTTGATTGAGAATCGCTAGACACACTTCCTTTATCCCGTTAACTGAGTTTATATTTTCCCAGGAGTTTATACCAGCTGGCAGACAGCAATGTTTTAGGGAAACAATGTGAATTCTGATAGCGTCATTATCCTACAACCATTACTGTGTATAATCACCATTTAGTCCATACTGATGGATCAAACCAAAAAACATGTCTGCTCCAACTTTAACATATAATTAATATGGCTGTGAGCAACCGAGGCCTCACCTCAACCTCTGCTGTCAATTTCATTTCCTTAAACGGATTCTCTTATCATAATTTTGTTGAGAAAATTGATCCGATGAAGTGACATCCATTAAAGGAGCAGATGTATTGGTATAACCATGGTTACTGTTGCTAAAGCACTATAGGTGGAGTGAGAAGTGGAGCTCAACCATCACCATGGTAACCCCATGCCGTGCTTAGTGTGTGCAGCTGTCTGTGTGTGTGTGTGTGTGTGTGTGTGTGTGTGTGTGTGTGTGTGTGTGTGTGTGTGTGTGTGTGTGTGTGTGTGTGTGTGAAGCTGATCAGCAGTGTGTGAAAGCACATACGGTTGTGTACCTGAAGTTATCAGACATA